CCTTCTTTCCCTCTATCTCTCTCACACACACACACACACACACACACACACACACACACACACACACACACACACACACACACACACACACACACCTCAGTTCTTACCATGCATCCCTTACTGAACCCTCTCGTCTGACATGTCTGCTGCTGTTTGCTGTGTTAAGGGAAACCACCGGAGCTGGCAGCCTTACAAACAGCCTGACAGGTGTGTGTGTGTGTGTGTGTGCTCTGCCAGCCCACTACCTTCGACCGGTGTTTCTCTTGGAAAAACGTTTGAGACGTGGCATAGAGCCCTGTGGGTCAAGTACTTAGGGCAATGGCAATTAACTGGCACAGAGTCAACATCAAAAGTAGCAGAATGAGCTACTGTAGTTAGTTAGCCACCAGCTAGAACTAATTATTAGTCCGGCAGAACCTTTCGTTTAGAGCTATAGAAAAAGATCACGTGAAATGGTAATAGGGACTGGGATAAGGTATAGTGTTGTAGGAGCTAGAGTTAATCGTATAAGTAGGAACCACGGTTTGTGCACTCAGAGGTTCAGGAGCAAAGGTAAACCATTTCTGACCGCAAACAAACACAGAAACAAACAAAAACACACACACTGAGGTAAAGGTTGGCTGCCGAATTTAAGTTATTGTGTTTCTACGAGTCATGTTTTGTGTGATGATTGAAAACTGATTTGAGTTTAATAGACAACAGTAACAGGAATAAAAGTGGAGAAAGAGTGTTAAATGTACACTCTTCATATCTGACTTTTATTTATCATACAAGGTACAGAGTGTTAATTATGTAAACACATTGGCACCTCAGGGTCTTTAAGCAATACCACCATACAGTGCAGCAAGAGGGTTTTCTGGGTTTAAGAGGTCTGGTAAGATTGGAGTTGATTTGTCCAGGATTAAAATTGTCACAGTTCTGTTCGAGAACATTTCTGGATTATTCACCTCTGGCAGGGCTAGAGAGCAAAACATTTGGTCGATGATATACGTCAAAATGAATAAATATGATCAGAGAAAGGTCTTAGGCGCTGGCAGAGAGCTGAGAAAAAGATAGACACTGTTCTGAAGGAAAAGTGGAGAGTAAAGAGGGTTAAACCAGAGTTATATGTGCCGTTAGCTCATCACTTGTCCCTTTGCATTATGGAATAAAAGCACACCAAAGCAAAAAGGAGCCCACAAGCCTGGTAGGCAAACACAATGACCTCAGAGAGACCGAGAGAGAGTCCCGAGGTTGAGCTTAAAGCTGGGTCGTGATTATCCCAGCGTTAGGGGTTACCTGGAGGTGAAACATGCAATATGCACTACAGGCATTTATGATTGCGAAAAACATAACTAATTGTGTGAATTACGACCCAGACTTTTGACATGGGGCTCAATCAGTTGTGCAGCTGTATCGGCCTTAAGCTGCTCCACAAATCATCTGAGCCTGGATGCTGACGTTCTCCCTGCAGTATTTTCCAAAGCTCTAGTCGGATTTTTTGGGTGATTAGCATCATAGAAATGTTGTTGTTTTATGATATGATGAGCTGAGTCACTTGTTCTAATAACTGGAAATGCTTTGCTAGGTGCAATGTAAGAACTGTGTGAAATCTGCTGTACACAGAAATAAAAAAATCTCCTGTAACAAACCTTGGGTTCCTGTAAGAGAGCTTAACAGTGATTGACAGCTTGGTCCCAGTCGCCAGGCCAGTGAGAGGTGGCGTGGGATTTCAGAGGGCGGGAGTTAGCCCCCGGTGTCTGGGACAGCTGTGGAGTTGTCGGGCTGGCTGGCGGCTGCACGCTATAAATTTCTCTCTAAAGAGGATTTACTTTTATTTTAATGGCTGCTGTAAATTTACGGCACCCCGGCCCGGTGAAAGAGAAAGAAGGGTTCTTTTTAAAAGGGCCCCTCACTCTCTCTTCAGCCCTCCCTTTCTTCCCGTTTTTCTCCTTTCCTTTAAAAGCAAGTGGAGTTTTGCCATGTCTCTTGTGGTCTGCTTTTACCTGTAGTCAGCCTGTATGGAAAGTGTATGAAAATATCCTGAAAGAAATGAAAACGCTGCAAAACAACTTATATTACGCCCGACACTCTGGAATAACGGTTTCATTGTATGTGAAGGTCATATCATATTTTAACAGAGGAACACTGGCCACGCTTGCAGAATTTCTCCCACTTGATGGCAAATTCCTCGTCTTGAGCCCAGAGAGTTTTCAGATGCAGAAAATAACAGTTCTTCCTGTTTTTCCATCTCTCTCTCTGCAGGTGCTGTTTGCTCTGAACCAGACACTCCTGCAGCACGAGGGCGTCCGAGCAGGCAGCCTGCAGGGCTCCTTCACCACCGAGGACCTCATCACACACTACAACTGTGGAGACCTCAGCCACATCATCTTCAACCATGACACCTCACAGGTTGGTTAGAATTTAAAATATCTAGCTCCTAAGTCCTACAATTAAAATGAGAATCACTTAATATTCATTCTTCTTTCAGCTACGACAGTGTTACATTTTGCAGCCTCATTATAAAAAAAATGTTGAACACAAAAACCATAAAATGAGTATCAACTGCTTGCCAAGCATAATACAAATGATCTGATGCCATTATCTCACTTTGCCAAACAATCCCAAATTGTTCGTATTATCTCACATATTTTTCCACTTATAAAGTTTTAAATAGTCCAAAAACAACGGGTGGTGAAAGCCATGCTGCTTTAAAGCACAAAACACTCGGTTTTCTTCAGATGATGTGAAGTATTAACCAAAAGATGCCTTGATAATGACCCCGACAGACATGTATGTGCACAAAATTCAAAAGTAAAACCTGCTCCTATCTCATACGTATGTAAACGTTTCACAAGTTGTGTCTAAATATTGGATGGTTGGTTAATTTGCAATTAAATACTTTCCGTGACCCTCCAGATTTAAAAAGGAACAAGATAGATGTGAACAAATTCGTCTTGTTTGTTTGTAGCCTTTATTTAACCAGGTGAAAGCCCCTTGAGATCAAAATATCTATTTTTTAAGGGTGACCTGTTTACATTGATTACACATGTAACATACAAACAACAGAACAACAATAAGGACGACATACAACATAAATGACAGGGTAGTTTACAAACTCTATTTACAGTGATAGGATTTCTTATCCTTTTGATTCAAGAGTTGTCTTAAAGTATATCCTTAGTCTCTGTGAGGTTTCCAATTTGACAACATCTCCACCTCCCAATTTGCCTGGGTCCAAATTGTCTGCCATGTCTTTCAGTAAAATCACAGGAAGAAATGTATCACTCAGTGAAGTCTCAACGACCACACAAAGAATCTTGGCCCCTTTGGTATCTTATTAAATCCTATACTCTCTCTTGAGTATTCATATTGGGCCAGCCTAGTGCAGGGGGGTTTAGTCTGCCTTAGTGTAAATGTTTCATTCTGTCAAGTAAATATGGAAGTGAAAGGGAATCGTTTTCAGTGAGAAAAGAAGCGATCGTGAGGTTTCTGACATAATATAAGAATCCCAGAAAATCCCAGCCACTTACAGCTAAAATACTGCTTTTAGTCCAAAACCATCTGTAGAGATATTCAAAATCCCAAATCTGTCAGACCCTCGATTTAAGTTGGCAACCCTCTCATACCCACTCCTCTGCCATTAGGCTATCGTCACCTCAAACTTTTAGGCTTGCACATCAATTCCACCAAACTGCACGTTGCCATCTTAATCCCTCAAGTAAGCCTCAAGTTACTTGATAGTCTGGCACTTTAATAGCTCCGGACTCGGCCGTAAATACGCCATCTGACCTCCTCTAACTTTTCCTAACATAGCCTCTGCTCCTTTAGCGATAGCCTCCTCTTGTTCACACCCTGCTCTGCTAACTGTCAAAAGAACATTCAATATATAAGTCTCACACACACACACACACACACACACACACACACACACACACACACACACACACACACACACACACACACACACACACACACACACACACAGATTTACTCGAAAGCCCTGCTCATAAGTCAATTATGCTGTGTCAACCTCTCTCACTGATCCTCAAGTCTCCTTAAACCTAACACACCGTGTAACCTCAACTCACCACTCAACTGAGAAGATTCCACATCATTTACACTGGAGACACAAAGAAAGAGAAAGTATGCACAACTTCAGACACATCTCGCCATGCCTCTGTTATTAGGCCCTGACAAAAGAAACATGACTCCCTTTTTGTGAAGAGCTTGTTAGACATAGCTTCACCTGTAGTCGTCTCCTGCCTGAGCGCTTTAAATCATACCAGTTCTCCCCTGCTCCTCATGTCATAATAACATGTATTAACATTCCCCAGCACATGCTAGAGCAATCAGACGCCTCACTGCGGTGCCAGGTTCTGTAGCCTGGTGATCTATAGCAGGTTTGTCCATGCGTGTGTGTGTGTGTGTGTGTGTGTGTGTGTGTGTGTGTGTGTGTGTGTGTGCGTGCGTGCGTGTGTGCCTGTGTGTGTGTGTGTGTGTGTGCTTGTGTGTGTGTGTGTGTGTGTGTGTGTGTGTGCGCGTGCGTCCGTGCGTGTGTGCCTGTGTGTGTGTGTGTGTGTGCGTGTGCGTGTGCTTGTGTGTGTGTGTGTGTGAGAATGTACAGCGTTGTTAAATAGCAGGTGTTTTTTGATTAGTAGGACCAAATCCAGAGGCCTTCAACACCCCCCAACGCTCTCCTATTGTTCAATTGTCATCATATTAGAGAAAGATCTGTGATGGGCCTCGTAGTGTAGAGATGCAGGATGCTTTTCAACACTTCATCACAGACATAAAGTCGAGACCATCCTCAGTGGGAGCACATTAGACGTTCAGCAAAAAGGGCTTCTTCTGCGGCTACTCCTTGCTCAGACCACGCCCATTTTCGAGACTCAAGATGAATTTTTCTGCACGGTTTCTTAAATGAGTCTTGCACGGCTGCCACGCTTTGCTGGCCCCAAAATGTATCCACACACACAAAGGAAACCAGGGGACACTAATAAGTGATGCACACAGCTGGTACCAGAGCGCTTTGAGACGTTCTGGGATTATAATGTTGGCCAACTGTTGGCGGAGTAAGTGTGTTTCATAATTTTAAGTGTGTGTCTGTATATTTCAAATGACTAGGTTAGCTAGCTAGCCAACAGCAGATGATATCCAATAATATCGGAAGGAATCATCCAATCACATTCTTAAAATAAGCCAATAAAACGTACATTTTGGGTACATTTCCAACAACACTAAAAGGTGGACAAGTTTATAATCCCCAAACGTCAACAAGCGCTCCCGACCCAGCTGTTTTTGGCTGTTGTAGGGCGTTCACACCTGTTGGCCACCGTAGACATCCAATAAAAACGAATGAAAACTAGAGATTGTCCTGCGATAAGATCACAAAGTATGAAACCAAATCAGGCCAATGGCCCCTTCCCAACTTTCTACAACCTTACTTTATTACTTCCCCTTTGAACTCAACGCTATTTTGATCTCAAATACACACCTGTAAAGTTTTGTGACTCCATCTTGCAGAGTTGTGATCCTTTTGTCTGGCAAAATCTATTCAAATAAATATGAACACATGGTAAAGTACTCTAGTAGTTCCTAATATAGTAGGTATCACTAGGAGCACATTTTCCTTACTTTTTTTACACATAGTTAAGAAGACCAAAAAGGACTTCAAAGAGCAGAATCATGAAGGAAACATATGTCACATTGAGTAAATTGCTTGCAGGAGAGACTAAGAAAGTGAGTGCAGAGGGATCCCAGTAGTGAGGAAGGGAGGAAATATCTCCCTGTCACCCCGTGTTTCCTGGAGGTTGGGATACGGAGCAGTTAATGGCCCTTACTGTGATAAGTTATCTGCATTAAGTGCTCACTCCCACCTTGACCCCTCTCAGGCCCAACATCGTCATGAAACACTCACGTTATCCTCTCTCATCAGAGCAGTGATGAAGCACTCCTTCTCCACCTCCCCCTCTCTTAAACTGTTTCATCCAACCCTGCTTTATATTACTTATGAATCATTAACCCCTGCCTATCCGGATTAACTTGGGTCATTCACACTGGAAAATACACAGACAAGTAAAGGCCTCAGGCTACAGATATCTGCGTGAATTCATTTATTTTTGGCTTTCTTTCCTTCCTGAGTGTAGAGAGTAGCGTGGCTTATGTCATACAAACATTTTGGATTGGATCAGGTCTTGTAATTAACCATCAATATGCCAAAACATAAAATCATAATGTTAACCGCCAGAGTTAATAATTGTGAACATTCAAAAGGTTTCTTCATGCACTTTTGTAACTTTGTTTACACTATGTTCAAACTCAATTGAACTGAATTGTAGAAGCAAATTGAAATGCATCAAATCTGATTTATCTGCCGTACAGGCCTATCGTCAATCAAGCTAATAAGTCAGGTAATTTTATAATAAAGAATGTTGAGTTATGGGCCTTCATTTATTGTCTGATTTTTACTTTTTACTTATTTCTTTTATTTTTAATGTTGTTAATTAGCAGGCACCTGGTCACTTTTCAAGTTGAGTACCCCGCTGATGCCCCGACCAACAACTTCACGCAGCTCCCTGTAAAACCTCTTAAGGCCTTTTCCAACTTTTTACAGTAGTACTCCCCGAAACCAGTAAAGAGACTATAATGTGTGAAATGTGTGGGGTTCCCCTGCACCCCACAGGTGAAATCAATAAATATCTGATGTAGGTGTGAATTAGCACCTTTCACCCATTATGTGAAGCAGACTGTGGGAGGGGGCGTCGGGGGAGTGAGAGAGAATGTGTCAGGTAGAGATTTTAGATGCAGCACCTTGTTCACATGTGGAACAATAAATCCCCCTATGAGTGCAGTATTCAGACACCACACATTGATAAATACACACACACTTACTTACACACACTGATTTATGCAACACTTGCAGCTGTTCTGCTGTTGTGTCCACTTGTAATTCAGTTTCATACAGCGGCTGTGTGTGTTCTTGTCACACTCAAGTATTACAGATTAAACACATGCGAATGTGTCTTTCTCTAATCCCTCCATCTTTTGAAGCTTTCCAAGTGAGAGGAAATATTGAAGGCTGGCAGCCTCAGGTGGTATAAGAGAGACTAGAAAGTAAAAACCACAGAAATATTAACAGGGGGAAAACTGCAACCAAATAGAAAACAGCTTGGTGAACCAACATACCCCAAAGTTCTTTGTGCACAATATTAAGCTTTTACAGATTCTGAATTTATGTATGCCATATATTGATTTTCAGTTATTAAAACTAGTGTCAAACTCTACTTAAGACTATACGTTTTTACTAATACTATACTTCGCTGAAACCCAGTGGCAATGGATAGGAACTGTAAACACAGCAACCCCACAATACACCATGTGCGTGATGCCGGGACAATTTGCTCTTTCCATGTCACACTAAACCAAACACTCAACAACAGACCAAAAAGACAGAGCAAAACCAGATTTGCTAACTTCAAGGCTAACACTCAAATCGCCAGGGGGAAACAGAGCTAGAGTTTAATGTTATCCATCAACAAGTAGCCAAAAACTCTCGACACACATTGCTTTACTTACTGCTTTATTTCTTACATTATACACTATTACAAATAACACGGGCTCTAGGCAGAAACCCTCAGAGTATCAGGCCGACACACTGCTGACAACCGTGCAGCCAGACTAATCAATTTCCTGGAGATTTATAAGAAAATGGCGCCACGTGTCCACAACAATGCTCTTAAAGTCCTACTGTAGTTGCTAACACTCCCAAATAACCGGGAACTCAGAGGAACACAGAGATGAAACAAGCGATGTAACCTGTGTGTGCATTTCATTGTTGCGTTTAGACATTTTAAAAATGGTGGCACTCCTGCATGAAAGGTATCAGTTTATTGAGGGTGAGCTATCGGTCAGAAAAGAAATCTGGATGAGCATCCTTTACTTTCATAGAAATAAAGGGAAAGGATTCTGAACTAGCCTGAAATGGCTAATGGCCATATTTTTCCAATTTCAAACTTTGTGTCAAAGGAAAAAATAAGAATTACTACACATGGAAAATAATTTGGGCACGCTAACAGTCCCCTTAGTCAAGAAAAGACAGCAAACAGAATACCAGGAGGCGGGAGCAGACGGAATGGAGCGCTCTGTGGTGTCTTAGGGTCTCACCTTTCTCTAATATTTCATATTTGATTGCATAAATATATCAAGAGAAAGAGCCAGAACAAGCCAATGCAGGTAAACGATACTCTGACAGGAAGTTAAAGAAGTAAAGACAGAGTGTGTGTGTTTAGGTGTGTGTCTTGGACAGCTAAGACCCCAGCAGCAGCCCCCCCCCCCCCCCCACTGACCCCCCACTCATCCTCACAGATTAACAGTCTGTTGGATCGAGGGACGCAGCCAAAAGAGAGGAGCAGAGCCAGCTTTACTGTCTCCGTCTGTCTGGCTCTTTATGAATCACATATTAATTAAACACACATTCATACTGGTTGATACACTGCAATTGCACTTGCCTTTTATAATAATACAATTAATAATACATTTTATTTCGAGGTGCCATTCAGGACAACTTACTGTACAATGCAAAAAAATAATAATGAAACAGATCAAAACTGGTTAAACCTGAAAAAAACAGTAAGGTAAACATAAAAAGAGACAGTGTACACACACACACACACACACACACACACACACACACACACACACACACACACACACCGTCATGTACAAAAATGTGTTATGCACACACACTCATGGTGTTGAATTTTCTCTCCTCCCTCTCCTTTCCTGCATTGCATTGGTAATTTCCCGTCAAGCCGACACGCCACACACACTCCCGGTTGCCAATTCTCACACTCTCAGTCACACACACATTTGCCAGATTGTCACCAACACCGTCCTCTTCTTTCTTTCCATCTCGCTTTCTATCCCCCTCAATTTCTTTAACACAAGTTCTCTTTGCGTTTGATGTGTCCATAAAATGATTCATGGGCTTCCCTATGCTGCTGTGGACGTTCATTAGAGCAGCTTTTAAACTCAGATTTTTCCTCTCTTTCTCTCAGCTGCCTCACTTCATCAACAGCTCGCTGCCAGCTCACGACCGCACGACCGCGCTGCAGATCGACAGCTACTTCCGCCGGGAGCTCATCTACAAACGGAACGAGAGGATGGCCCGCCGTGTGTCCGCCCTGCTGCAGAGAAATCCCAACCAGACTTTCTTTTTCGCTTTCGGTGCAGGTAAGGGAGCCTCAGATACTGCTTGGGGGAGGTTTGGGGGGAGGTTTAATTAAGCAATAGCTCACGACAGGCCGTGGTATATGCTCATTATATCATAGCTAAGGGGCGTTTGCTTTTCAGCCCAACTGTATACAGTTTTTCTCAGACGCGGAGGGATACTGACTTGTAGTGAAAAGTAACTACAATTCTACCCGTGGTATACGCTCAGTATATCATGGCTAAGAACCAATCAGATTGCTTGATTTGACTTGTCTGTTTTATAAGTTGATGTAAATGTTAAGATCCTGCCCTCAGGTTAAAAAAAGGCTAAAATGACTGACCTTTGCTCAGCTGGTTATGGGACGTCTCTCTTAACTGTAGGCCAAACATAGAGTGGTGCAGCGATGACGTATCTTTGTAGGCCGACACAGAAGTTAGCATAACAATGACTCCCTGGAAAAAAAGCAGAAGGATTTTTCCATTAGATTTTGGAATATTTCAGGATAATCTCCACATAATAATGCCACTTTATGATCTTTGAAGCGTAAATGCTATTGTTAGGAAAAAGCTTACGTTAGGCTTTAAACAAACTACATAATTTTGCCATGTTTGCACACCACTATCGCTAAGCTAAAGGCGGCTAATGTTAAGCTAGATGACGTTTAGTAGTTTATTTCAGATCCTTGTTAGCAGCCACTGTTTTCATGACACATAGAAGCTTCTAGTGGGGTATTTTCTGATATATTTTAATTCTTAGAACAAAACATGAAAATCTTTAAAGCTTGTGTTAACCACAGACGTTATTTCAGGGATCTTACCACTAACATGTTAAAAAACCATTGACTTTGAGACGAGGAAATGGTAAATTGCTAAGTCGATTCCAGGTTTTAAGACTCATTCCCGCACCACTCTTTATGAGAATCCATTAGGCAGCAACTCTAATCTTCATATCTATTTTGCAATAAATGAGATCTTGTTAAACACAGTCTGATTGGAGTTGAGAGAGTTTGTTTGCATGTAATTGTGAAGAGAAAGGGGGATAAGGTTTGCTTTGGTCCAGAACACTGATTCTGTCAGAAGTAATGTGTGTTTATAGAGAACAATTTGCTCTCTTTCTTGTTTCAAAGCAAAGTTTGAGAAAAAGCAGAACAATAATAGCGTACGATGGTTCCCAGATCTCTGGCATGGTAAACTGGTTATCTACAAACACGCGCACACACACACGCACACACACACACACACACACACACACACACACACACACACACACACACACACACACACACACACACACACACACACACACACACACACACACACACACACACACACACACACACACACACACACACACACACACACACATAGAAGTCTCCATTACGGCCAGCTCCCACCTCAGAAATGAAGAAACCATGAGCTGTTTGTTTCAATTAGCATTCCTGGCTAATGCTGCTAATGTTTCCTGAATGGTGTAGTGTGTCCTGAGGGAGGGGTGTGTGTGTGTGTGTGTGTGTAAACATGTTAGTGTTTGCCCACAAAGGCAGGTGGTGGGTGGATGTCTGTTTACTGTACAACTGTGTATGCGCTTCGCATCTGAAAATGGGTGGTACCGCCTCTAGGGTGTGTGTGTGTGTGTGTGTGTGTGTGTGTGTGTGTGTGTGTGTGTGTGTGTGTGTGTGTGTGTGTACATGCAAAGATTGAAAAACTGTAGGTTAGCATATGAACTATGACCGCGATGGAGGAATTTGTTTTTGTAATAATACTTAAAGGGGAGTTATGAAAAACTCATTTTTTAGCGTTTGTGCACATAACCCAAAACCTGACCAATCTTTGACATTCAAGTATATTACCAAAGCAGAAACCCATAATACAAGTATGAAGCTGTACATTTGCATAATATCTCCCCCTAAAATAAGTGCAAAGGTGAAGCATTAGGAGCCTCTCCTGTTAGACACTGTGTTTGTGAAACATTGAAAGTTATGGGAATTGGAGAAAACCAACCAACCCATTCCAACTCCTCAGGCTCAAATAAACTCAAAGGAGTGGAGGTCAACAAGAAAATAAAAACAGCCATGTTTCCATTACAAGTTGTTAGAAACGTTTACTACATGCACTAGACAGGGATACATAGGATATAACAACATTTGTGTAAGGCAATAAGATCAAGGATAATGTTTGTCTTAAGTCGAAAGCATACATAATATTACTTTTAAGATCAGGGAGGAGCTACGGTTTTGCTATATTGTGTTATACTTGATAATTAGCAGAATAGCAAACAGGTAATTCTATACCATGTACAGTAAGGCAACGTTAAAGCTTTGATGCAGAACTGTAGCCTGCTGGTGTTTGAGCTAAGTTCAAACAAGTACACAGAAAATAAACATTAAATTGGACTTGTGATTGGGATTTATTATTAAATGACATAAGTCTAAATCCCTTTAGTAGCATAGACTATTTTACCTGGCAGGTCCTAGATGTGAAAATATACATCTGTTAAACGTGAAGAAGGAGGGGAAAATGATTGTGTTCAGCCAAGAAATCTTCTGTGGATTAATATATGTGACCGTGTATGTGGAGTCTCAGATTCTGTCAGCTTACAAGAAGCAGACTTAACAGTTCCTTGCTAGCATTTTAACTTGGAATAGATAGGGATATCATGGCATGCAACAGTGTTCAAACCCCTACATAAAACTGACATTTTACATGTACATCTGTCACCTGTTTTGCTTCATGAGTCTCATTTGACCATTACAATCTGTTTTAATGCAGCTTCATGTTTTCCAGATTACAGCAGCTATGTTTTAGCTTTCCAGTGTGTCAACCTGGCCTGGAGGTGCACATCTGTGTGTGTGTGTGTGTGTGTGTGTGTGTGTGTGTGTGTGTGTGTGTGTGTGTGTGTGTGTGTGTGTGTGTGTGTGGGGTCACCTGCAGGCTGCAACCGTGTGTGTGAGAGAACTGACAGCTGGTGTGATGTGAGAAGAACCATTACAGTTATGGCCTGCTATGCTGCTATGCTATGCCACACACACACACACACACACACACACACACACACACACACACACACACACACACACACACACACTCATGTGCATATACTAATTCATACTTAAACAAGCATTGTGCACATATGTGTATACTTTATAATGTGCACTCACTCACACACACAAAGAGGAAACACAGAGGTCTCGGTGAAGGAAGACAGAGTCAATGACGGCCGGATTTGCGTACATGAAAGAGACAATGCACGAACATTTAATTTTGCGCTTACAAACTGCATGTAATTACTGTCTAATTTAATACGACAGAGGATAATTACAAAACTTCTCACAGCGATTGCCATCTAGGTTCATTCAAGGAGAATTTTGAAACTAGAAGAAAAAACAAATGGTAATAAAAAACAAAAAATGCTAATATAATTAGACAATTTTAAAACTTACATTTGCTCCAATTAAAGTTACTACTATAACATAATACATTACTGATAATGTTTGTAATGGGGTTGTAAAACAGAACCAGTGGAAGTCATTAAACATACATTTAAAAAACGAAATAACTGACTAACAACTGAGAAAGAGAAGACCACTCACTGCGATGCCTTCAATGCTCCTGCCAAAGCCACGTTAAGTTAAACTTTATGACCACAGTTAAAACTTGTCACTAATTCATTGCAGATCTAGAATAAAGGTTATTAAAACTAGATATTTTTCACCACAGTTTTCTTAGCAAATGTGTTCCTTACGTAGCTGAACATCTGTGTGCCACACTCATCGTGTCTCCTAATAGTCGTTTTTATCCTCCTTTTAGATGACCTTCAAAAAGGAGAAAGGTGCCCTTTTCTAACTAGACATAAGTTATGTCTTATGTGACAAACTGGGGCGCCAAGGTGTTGTCAGCTAACACACATGTCTCTAGATGCTAATGTCTTTAGAACGGACGCAAAATGGATCATAAATTATCCTTAATAAGGTCTCTCCCACGATTTATTCACAAAGCTTTCTTTCTCTCATCTCTTATTTCTGTCTTTAAGACGTTGACTCATGTCTTTACGGTCCTGTAACTGTCCCTGCTGGTCCCAGTCTCCCATTGGCCGTAACTAGCCATGACATTATATCATCCAATGATGCCAGGATGTATTAAGTGACGGCCCCGGACTCCCAAATATCTGACTGTGCTCTTCAGGACTTACAAGAAGTAGTTCTGTGATATGTCAGACTTGATTAATGGAGGTAGTTTTGCTTATACAGTATACCGATTAGAATCTAACCACAAAGCATGTTTTTAGTGATGAAGACAAATAAAGAGGATAGGAAGTGTGAAAGGTTAAAATTATCCAGACATATATTAAAATAAATACAGCCCAGGGAGATGTATAAGAGCCGTTTTCAGTCCAAATGTGGGCGTACAATAGCGTAATCCTGTAAAATCCAATCTTTATGGTAGATTTCACATTAACCTGGCATGTTTAACTACAAGCTCATGGTATAAGGCTTATTACTGTGGATTATGAGATGGAAAACTTCCCTGGGCTTTTTGTAATTATGTCTATTTTTGAGAGGTGGAATAAGGTTACAAGTTAACGTTTTGGGGGGTTTTCCATACCTGTAGTGTGTAATACGGGTTTTTGTGCATGTAAATGGCCTGCAAAGTCTCAAATCCCTGTGTTCCCTCCAGAGGGAGATTCTCTCCCACACACTCCCCCCCCCTGTCTGAAACACCTCCATTGGTCTATCTTCTTCCTGAACTTAGACCCCATTTACACGGGAACGTTTGCGTTTACGCACCAAATTTGTTTAAAAAAAAGTCTTCCGTTCACACGCATTCGGCTCATTTAACGTGTCCGTTCACACGAGACCACTGTAAACGCTGTAGTACATATACCGGGCCTGTAAGTGGTGCTGTACTTTCGCCACAAAATACACCAAAAGCAGCGAAGAAGACCCCCGAGCATGGTTGCCATGGTTGCCCTTCTGTTTATGCCCCGCGGTGGATTTAGCAACATGTAGTTCATGTAATTCGCCATGTCCACTTGTTGCTGATGGTTGTGGTAGAGGAGCTGTAGATGTTGCACTAA